TCCTGCCTGAGAGTAACATGCTCTACTCATACAGAAATTGTGAGATAGTAACCCTGTTAGAAGAAAAGGTGAGATCAGTGGAGCAGTGAATGTCCACCAAGGTAATAAAGGAGGTGAAGAGTTTTTGGATAGAGCAGTAGAGCTGCAACAGCTTAGAGTAGTATTGAAGCAAGAAGTGCTTGCTGAGACAGAAGAAAACACTGCGGAGAGAGAAAATGAGGAGGAAACTCCCTGAAAAAGGGTGACAGTTAGATGCAGAAGAACTAGAACATTCTGCACCAGTGAAAGCCATAGAACTCTCCAACTGCTTTAAGTTGCTTGAACTTTAAGTTACTAAGTACCTCTGAAAAAAAGAGACAAAAGGTTAATCAAGTAAGGGAAAAGATACCAAAGTTTGCAGCAAGAAAAGGAGAAGAGTGACAGTTGTGGAAGATTCCCTGTTGTGCGAGATGGAAAAAGATCTCCAGGAAGACCTTTGGAATTGTCAGGTGTGCTGTCTCCCTGGAGCAAAGATCAGTGACATAACTAACAGACTATCAATGTTCATACAACCCAGTGATACACATACCTTCCTTCTCATACATGTGGGAACTAATGACACTACCAATAGGAGCTTTGAGGAAATCACCTCAGACTTCAAAACCTTAGGGAAGAACATTAAGAACTTTGGGCCTAGGTAGTGTTCTCCTCAATCCTTCCAGTTCACAAAAGAAGAAAAGACAGAGTGAAAAATACTGAAATACTGGTTTCAATGGTGGTGCAGCCATGAGAGATTTGGATTCTGGGATCATGAGCTAAACTTCCTGGAAGACAGACTGCTGGCAAGTGGTGGGTTGTACCTTACAAAGAAAGGAAAGGATATACTTGGCCACAGCATGAAGAAGTTTATCAGTAGGGCTTTAAATGGAATTCTGCGGGGGAGGGAGACATATGTCTGGGCACAACGTCAACTGACGAAGGATGATGTACTGCAACAGTGAAAGAAACTCTAGCTGGACCTAACAGTAGTCTCCCAAAAATGTAGGAAAGAAGCCAGGAACTAATTCATGTGGACTTAGATATCATATACCAATGCCTAAAGTATGGGAAACAAACTACACGAACTCTTAGTACACAAGGCAAACTTGACCTGATAGACATAATTGAAACTTGGTGGGATAGCTCCCATTAATGGAATTCAAAAATTGCAGGATACAACCTATTCAAAAAGAATAGAAGTAACACAAAAGGAGGCAGAGTTGCACTGTATGTTAAAGATCTATATCTCTGCAGAGAAATACAGGAAGAAGTGACCAGTAATCTTATTGAGTGTACCTGGACTAATATAAAAGGGAAAAGAAATGACAGGAGTATACTAGTTGGTGTCTGTCAAGGAGAGGATAAGGAAGAAACTTTCAAAACAAACAAACAAACAAAAAACAAATTGCCAGAATTACAAGGAGTTATGATGTTGTCATTGTGAGGGACTTCAATTTCCCTGATATCTGTTGAGAGTCAAACTCTGCCTCCAAGAGATTCTTAACATGTGTTGCTGAAAACTTCCTCCAGCAAAAAGTAGAAGTAGAAATGAGAAGCACAGCCTTACTCAACCTGATCCTAACCAACAGGGAAGACATAGTGGACAAAATAACAACTACAGGAAATAAATTGATACTTGTCGTTATATATGTGACAAATGTAGTGTTAACAAAAAGTTGCAGGCTTTAATCTATTGTTAAAGATTAGATTAACAATAGATTAATCTAAAGTTCTGATAACTGAGATAAGCTATATTCTTTTCTCACTTAAAAATGAGGAAAGTGACCATGCCTTACTTGAATTCTCAATAATAAAGGAAGCTAAAACTAAATGTAGCCAAACATGTATCCTGGATTTCAAGAGAGTCAACTTGAACAAATTCAGGATGATGATAAGCAAGTCCCATGGCAAGCACTCTACATAAATGGAAAAGGAGCCCAAGAATGGTGGGATATCTTTAAAAAGACAAATGAAAAAGAAGGGAGTTCAGCTACTCCACATGGATGGAACAATGATAACAGAAGTCGAAGAAAAGACAGACATGCTCAGCTCCTGCTTTGACTCAGTCTTCTCCCAAAAGAGCTGAAGGGACAGGACAGCAGTCCAAGATTGACAGGCAAATTGTCAAGGATCTTCTAATTGAGCTAAATGAGTTCCCATCTCCAGAACTCGATGAACTTCATCCCAGAATCATAAAGTAACTAGTGGATGAACTCTCAGAACAACTACCTATCATCTTTGAGAATTCATGGAAGACAAGAGAAGTGCAAGATGACTGGAGAAAAGCTAATGCTGTCCCTGTCTACAAGAAAGTGGGGGGAAAATGAACTTGGGAACTCTAGAACAGTTTGTCTGACATCAGTCCCTGGAAAAGTTCTAGAGCAAATTATAAACAGTCTGCAAACACTTTGAAGACAACACAGTAATTACTACAAGCCAACATGAATTTCTCAATAACAGATCCTGCCAGACTAATCTAATTTCATCTTTTGACTGCATAATCTCCCAAAAGGACTGTGGGAATACTGTGGTCATAATCTATATAGACTTCAGCAAAGCCTTTGACAAAGTTTTCCATGATATCCTGATAAGCAACTAGCAGAAAGTGGGCAATAGTACAACCATTAGTTGGATCCACAATTGGCTGCAAATCAGTACTCAGCAATGGCTCATTCTCAAACTGGGGAGAGGTGACAAATAGGGTGCCACAGGGTTCTGTCCTGGGACCAGGGTTCTTCAACTTTTGCATTATTTAGATGAGGAAATGCAAGTAAATTTGCAGATGACGCAAAGCTGGGTGGAAAAGCAGATACCCTGGAAGACAGAGATAAGATACAAGGTGATCTTGATAGGTTAGAATGCTGGGCAGAAAGCAGCAGAATGAAATTCAATAGGGAAAATGCTACTTAGGGACAAGAAACCAAATGTATTTATTTATTTTAAAACTTTTTTAGACCATGCCTTACCATAGTCTTGGGGCGGTTTAACAATAAGATAAAAATAAAATAAAACTCAGCATCCTAATCAAATTCTTAACCCATATTGAAATGACAGTCAAACCTTACAATATTGGGAAATTAAAAAGGTTTTAGCACCACAAGATGGGGAACATTTGGCTCAATAATACTGCAAATGAGAAGGATCTCAGGGTTGTTATAGATCAAAAGCTAAATATGAACCAACAGTGTGATGCAGCTGCAAAGAGGGCAAACACTATTTTCGGTTGCATTAACAGAAGCATCACTTCCAAAACTCATGAAGTACTAGTTCCCCTATTCTCAGCACTAGTCAGACCTCACCTGGAGTACTGTGTCCAGTTCTGGGCACCTAAATTTTAAAAAGATATAGACAAGATAGGAAGGGTACAGAAGAAGGTAACTAAGATGATTCAGGGACTGGATGCAAAGCCCTTTGAGGAAAGATGGAAGAACTAGGCATGTTCAGTCTCAAGAAGAGAAGGCTGAGGGGAGATATGATAGTACTCTACAAGTACCTGAAAGGCTATCGCAAAGTGGAAGGACCCGATCTCTTCTAGTTCATTCCAGTATGCAGGACATGGAATAATGGATTTCAGTTAAAAGAAACTGGATTTAGACTAGACTCCAAGAAGAATTTCCTTGCTGTCAGAGCACCACAAAAATGGAGCCCATTACCTGGGGAAATTGTGGACTCTCCCTCACTAGAGACATGCAAAAAGTGTCTGGACAGTCATCTGAATGGGATGGTGTATCTTAGCATCCTGCAACAGCAGGGGGTTGGACCTGATGGCCTTCTGGCCCCTTCCAACTGTACTATTCTATGATACAGAAGTCCACAATTTTGGGGGCCAATGGACACAACTGGAATTTTGAGATGGTGCTGTGAACCCTCTTACAAAATGGCTGCCATGGAGTGGGCTTGCTCATTCACATAATGCATGCTGTATTTGGCACAGCCAGTCACAAAATGCCCCTTTCCTAAAGGGAAACGTGGTGAGAAAGGAAAGGAATCTAGGAAACAGGAAGAGGTTTGATCTTCCCTCCAAAGCACAATCACCATCTTCTGAATGTACAGTTGTCTGTTTCAACACCCATTTCACAAAGACCAGCTAATGGGGCTCTGAGACAAATAAATTGACCAGGCAATGGAATGCAAGGCAGAAGCAGTGCCTGAGCACTGAAGACCAAGTCATGCAAAGCACAGTCCCCATTTCACAGAAAGCAGACAGACGATGACCACAGAAAAGCACAAGCACATAAAATGAGGCAAAACGCACAAACTGGCAATCTGAGCAAGCAAGCAAGCAACAGACACCACACACACAGAGCACAGGCAAGATTCTCCCCTCAGCCCTCCCACCAACCCCTCCAGCATCCCCTTCAGTTGCTGCATCTACCCTCTCCCTGCTGGCCATCCAGAATGTTCCCCATTACCTTACAGCTACCTTTTCCTTTTTTTTTTTTTTTTTTTTCCTGGGCAAGCTTCACAGTGCTAGGCTCCAACTGCCCATCAGTTCTGTTTTCTAAGAATACCTCTGGTGCCCATATGCCTCTGGCATCTGCCTCAGGCATCCAGCCATTCTTGGAAATAAAGAGGGTGTTCAAGACCACCAACACAGCAGCCTCTGAGGTGTATCATCATCATCATCATCATCCACTTTTTTTCCTTTCAAGGGAACTCAAAGTTTACATCATCTTCCGTATCTCAAGCTTATCCTGAGCTACAACCCTATGAGGTAGGTTGGGTTGAGAGTCCGTGACCTGCTCAAAGTCACCTCGTGAGCTTCATGGCTGAGTGGGGACTAGAACTCAGATCTCCTGAGTCCCAGTCCCATGCTCTTAACCACTACTCACACTGGCAATCTGATTTTTAAAAGATGAAATAAAAAAATCACAAAGGGCAGATAACTGGAGAGTGTCATGGGAGCTGTTCATGGACACATTGGAAAATTGACACTTAACTGGGGTTGCCAATATCGTTCCTGTGAGCAGCAGAGTTCTTACCTCAAGGTGTGAAAACTATTTAGCAAGCTTTGCCATATCCGTTGTATGCCCATAAAAAGATCTCCATGAAGTCTACAATAGCTGTCACTTCAGAACTGGTCTCAGATAAAGATGAAAAGAAAACTGTTCTCGAAATATTTTAGTTTCCAAAGGAATAATCTGTGATTCCAGAATATTCTAAAAAGAGAAGCACCCCCCTCCCCTCGCCGCCGCAATAGGATCCAGGAAGCTTTGGCAGCCAGGAGGAAAGGGCTCGGTGGTTCAGTAGGACATAGCCAGGCTATGTTACAGAATTTGTTAGGTAATGCTTAGAAGGGAACTTCCAGGAAGTTGGCTCACAGTCTAAATTTGGAAGCAGCATGTGGAGGAGAGGCGAGGAGGAGAGTAAGCAAGCCCATTTGAAAAGTTATTCTGGGCACCCATAAAATGCCTATCGCTACTGTGGTAGCTCACATGACAAGGAACAACATGTGAAACTATTTGCAGGGGAGGGAAATGAGCCTCTGCTATCAAGCGCTTTGGCATGAGGAATGCAGTGCCTGCCAGAAATTCCATACACAAAGCTGGTGGCATCCCAGGAATGGAATACAGATTTTTCCATAAGATGTCTGAAAAAGTGTACAGGGTATGTGTGAGAGAGAAAGCGTTCAAGGAGGGGCAGGGCCCATGCTTGGCAAGGTTCAAAGTTCCTGCTGTAATGCCATACATGATTAAATTATGGAAAGTGGAAAACTATAGGGATTTCTTCTTCTTCTTGTTATTATTTCCATATCCATGTGAAGGACACCATGGGTCTGACCCTGGAGTACTTCCCCCAATTAAACATGACAGGAGTGAGAGTAAAGAAAAACTGTATTTTTATTCTTGAGAATAAAGTTTGATCATAGCAAAGGGGCAAATGACCCAGAAAGCATGGCAGGGTCTCCTTTTATACCCCTGATGACCAGGTAGCAATGGCAGCTGCTTCTTGGGTTGAAATTCCTGCCGTGAGTGCTGACTGGCACATTTGAATGCAGTTACATTCCACACTTACTGGGAGTCTGGGCTCCCCAAGGTTTGGGCCAAGAGCTACTGGAGATGGAGTCTTCTTCATTCCTGACCATGTGGTGGCTCCAGTCACATTGATAAGACTTGAGTACATGACCAGCCTTCCCCTACTTAATGCTGGCCAGCCAGGTAAGTTCCACATACTCCTATATACATTGATCCCTGACTCTGATTACACAGACTTCTGAAGTGGTAAACTGGCCAAAAATATGATTACTCCTGAGGAATATCTGAAACTCCAGGGTGAGGTATGTTCCCCACACAAGACGTTTGATAGAGTAAGTCTCTTTGCCCACTCTTGCCAGTGAAGTCACTGTGCCCCTTTCTCCCTCCAAAAAACCTTATTTTAAAAGGTTTTTTTGGGATTCCCATTTAAAGTGCTTGGCACTTTACCATCTGATCATTTTGCATGTGTGAATGGAGATCCAGCAGCACATATGGAGCTTTTGCAGCCTACAGTGTCACCCCAGATGCCTGCCGTTCTGTTGAATCAGTTTGTACGTTCAGTTGCCAGTCTTCAAGTGTTCTTTGTGCATGCCTCCACTCACTCCTCTGTAGCCTTGCCATGGACAAGCCAAAAGAAACAGCAGTGCAATTCAAATGAGCAGTGTATGTCAGGATGGAGGCAGATGAGACAAGAAAGAGCAGCAGGGCCCATTTAGAAGCACCATTATTTGTAGTATGAACTGTTTCTTCTGCTTTCCAAGGGCAAAGCTGTAAAAACCAGTTCTGTACATTGCAGCATGGGTCCTGTTAAATGAAGGAAAAGCCACTTGCAAGACATTGGTCAGACAGCAACTCTCATGTCATCAGTATACTTATTGAATCCCTGAAGAAATTTTGATACAGCTTTTTTTTAAATTGCATATGAGCATTAAAAGAAAATACAAAACAAATGAATCCATATTTGGACTTGATGGCCTTGTAAGATCCTTCCAACTTTACTATTCTATGTATACCACTTTAATAAATGAATAACCCAAAAAGATGGACAGCCTGTCAGAAACATAAAAGGTGGGGCAAAGCCTGCTTTCAGTTTGCTGAATCATTTTGCAGGTGCCCATTTATAACATCACAGACAGTCATCTGAGTGGAATAGTGTAACTTCTTCTGACCCCACTATTCTATGTTTCTATTGCTGTATTTCCAGATCTTTAGTTCCTTAAAATGACAGATGCAAAAACATGGGCTGTGGTTCAGTAACTTACAGGTTTTTTCCATTCAGAAGAAATACTCCAGGAAAACCCCTGAAGAAGCTGGGCCATGCTGCTTCCTGTATCAGTTCTAGGAGGCTGGTCCAGCAAAGGCACCTTGCTAATCAACCACATCAGAGGCAAAAGACACAAATGTTGATGTAAGAGCTATTGTTGTACATGCTGTCCTAGCTTAGCTAGGATGAAGCTAATCCAGTTGTATCTAGGATAACATGCAGTTTCTGGAATATAGCAATGAAATATGGATGCAAGATATAAAGAAGCAAAAGAAAGCTTATGCTCCCCTGATTTGTGGCTGTCTTGGTATCCTGAACAGGTCAGGGGATGCTTCATGGGCCTCCAAATTGCCTCGGCAAGAGACACTCCACGTAAAGAACAAAAGACAATACCACTCGCCAAGGATTCTGTAAAGTTCATCTCCCTCTGTTCCAGAGTCTGGCATTCTTCACAGTCTTTAATGCTACTTCTTGGAAGAGGAGATAGACAAGCAGCTTCAGTAAAGCAAACATTTTCAGTTCTCACTGTGAAAGCAGATCTTTTCTAAGACATATACTTGGGGAGCTCAATGAAGCTATGAGCTATACCATGCAGGGCCACCCAAGACAGACAGGACATAGCAGAGAGCTCTGACAAAACATGATCCACTGGAGAAGGAAATGGCAACCCACTCCAGTATCCTTGACATGAAAACCCCATGGACAGTACCAAAAGGCAAAATGATATGACACTGGAAGATGAGCCCCTCAGGTTGGAAGGTGTCCAATGCGCTATTGGAGAAGAGCAGAGGGCTAGTACTAGTAGCACCAATAAGAATGAAGTGACTGGGTCAAAGCCGACAGGACACTCAGCTGCAGATGTATCTTGTGGTGAAAGGAAAGTCCGATGCTGTAAAGATCTATACTCCATAGGAACCTGGAATGTGAGATCTATGAATCATGGCAAGCTGGACGTCGTCAAACAAGAGATGGCAAGACTGAACATCGACATCTTAGGAATGAGTGAACTAAAATGGACAAGAATGGGTGAATTTAATTCAGATGACCATCAGGTATACTACTGCGGGCAAGAATCCCTCAGAAGAAATGGAGTAGCCTTCATAGTCAATAAAAGAGAAGGAAAAGCAGTACTGGGATACAATCTCCAAAATGACAGAATGATCTCAGTTCGAATCCAAGGCAAACCATTCAACATCACAGTAATCCAAGTCTATGCCCCAACCACTGATGCTGAAGAGACAGAAGTTGACCAGTTCTATGAAGGCCTACAGCACCTTCTAGAATTAACTCCAAAAAATGATGTCCTCATCATCATGGGGGATTGGAATGCTAAAGTAGGAAGCCAAAAGATAACTGGAATAACAGACAAGTTTGGCCTTGGACTACAAAATGAAGCAGGGCACAGGCTGGTAGAATTTTGTCAAGAGAACATGCTGGTCATAGCAAACGCTCTTTTCCAACAAGCTAAGAGATGACTCTACACATGGACATCACTAGATGGTCAACACAGTAATCAGATTGACTATGTGCTCTGCAGCCAAAGATGGAGAAGCTCTATACCAGGGGTATCAAACTTGTGGCCCACGGGCCAATTGCGTGGCCCCCACTTGATATCAAAGTTTAGTGATAGTGCGGCCCGCGCATTTTTCTCACACGCACCTGTGTGAGTCGTTACCCTGGGTGCAATGTTCCCTCTAAGCTGCGTGCCGGGCTGGCCTCCGGGAGCAACGGGGGTTGAGCGGCCCACCACCACCACGGTGGTCGGCCTTGGGCGGCAGCGGTGGTGGTAGGCCGCTCATCCCGCGTCGCTCCCGGAGGCTGGCCCGGGTGCCGCCAGTGCTTCGAAGGCCGCAGGACCCCTCCCCCGTGCCCCACCCGTCCCGCTGCGCAGCTTAGAGGGAACATTGCCTGGGTGTTTTATATTTTTTGTCACCTGTGGGCTACCATAGCTCAGGATCGTGAGAGCAACACAAAGTAACAACATTAGTCATTTGCAACGTGATTCGGGAGTGTCACTGAGTGAAGGGAAAATATATCCTGTCACCCAGTGCAAATACGTTGTTTTTTTTTTTTGTTTTTTGTTTTGGTCACCCAGCCCCAGTCGTGTCTTTCTCAAAACCTGCCATGAAGAGAAAGGTTGGCAATGAGCACAGACAATTTCAGGAGAAGTGGGAGACGGACTATTTTTTTGTTGAGCACAGGGGCATCCCGACGTGTTTTATATGCACAGAGAGAAAGTTGCGGTGCACAAGGAGTACAACATCAGATGTCATTACTCAACTAGACATGCTGAGGAGTATGCAAAATACCAGGGAGATGAGAGAGAGCACCGGGTCGCCAAACTTAAAACCTGTCTACCAAGGCAACAGGATTTTTTCAAGAAAGCAAGCAAAGAGAGTGATGCGGCAGTCGAAGCCAGCTACATAGTGAGTGAGATGATTGCTAAAGCAGGAAAGCCATTTAAAGACGGCGAGTTCATCAAAAAGTGCATGTTACAGGCTGCAAGTATAGTCTGTCCGGAAAAAAAGGGTCAGTTTAGCAACATCAGCCTCTCAGCCAACACAGTGGCAGAGCGCATTTCTGACCTGTCAGGTAACATTTACGATCAACTGCGTGAGAAAGCTAAACATTTTCATGCATACTCAGTCGCTCTTGATGAGAGCACAGACGTCACTGACACTGCGCAGCTCGCAATATATGTCCGTGGTGTTGATGACAATTTTGAAGTGATGGAGGAGTTACTCACAGTGATTCCAATGCATGGCCAGACCACCGCTCAGGAGATATTCTGCCAGCTGTGTGATGCCATTGCAGATGCCGGCTTGCTATGGAAGAGTTTTGCTGGAATAATAACCGACGGAGCGCCATCAATGACAGGGAGGAGAAATGGAGTCGTGGCACTTGGTCAAAGAAAATTGGAAGAAGAGACTGTGGAAGAGGCCATTGCTCTGCACCGCATTATCCATCAGCAGGCCCTTTGCAGCAAATGCCTGAAGTTTGACAAT